ACGTAATAAACAATGAAAAAACAGAAAAAAATATGTATTTCCTAAGATGGGTTCGAACCTAGTACCTAGAAAAAAATCGTCAATTAATTGCGATTAATCGCTAAAATCGCCTAAAAATCACCAAAAAAATCGGCAATTAATCGCGATTAAGCGCACGATTAATCGTATGATTTTTCACGATTAATTGCCGATTTTTATGCGATTTTTAGTATATGGGATACTCTATACTTCTGTCACAATTCCCTGCTGCGAAAATTCCAAGAGCCAAGACCGAAAACATGCATAATTTCACGGTTTCTAGAAGTCAAATGCTGAATTCTGCGGGCGTATTATAAGTATTATACGGTATTATAAGAATCTTTGCATAAATGGGACTCTCGAGAAATTTTATTGGAGGTCCCGTCGAAATTTCTCAGGACTCCTACGAAAACGGGAGGATTCCATCTTCATCTCTGAAGAGTCCTATAGGATTTTTCATTTTGACACCACTTTTGTGAGATTTACCAGGGAAATTTGATTAGGATACGCCAGAGCGGGTACCAGCTCACATATACTTAGGGATGTTCGGTTCTCGGGCTAGAACCGAAACGAACGAAACAGCGGTTTCGGTTCCGAACTTAGAACAGAACCTCGGTTCTCAGCTTAGAACCGGAAAATAATTTTTCAGGCAGTAACAATTCAACGAAATAGAATTCATTAGTAAACGGAAGGATTCTTTCAAATGATGACAGGCAAATATATCCTTTTGCAGCTTTGTCAATAGTATGTTTTCATTTTGTTAAAAGAAAGGCAAGTCAAAATGTCTCATTTTCGGAAAAAAGGAACCGTCTGAAAAAGTGAAAGTTTAAAAATCCCCGCGGGAGTCCGTCTCACAAGTCGAAATCCCATGCGAGTTTTTCCGTGATTGTTCACTGAGTGTACTATGCCGATGTCAAATTTTTCATCATGATGGTATTTAAAGATGTAGTTATGGAACCTCTATCCTATCCGTCACGACCTTCAAAAATCGTTTCCACTAAACAGGGTGCTTATTTATGGGTAATCATACAAGCAAAAAACGCTATTCATTTGAATAGTTTTTGAGAATTTACATTGGTAAACAATATGAGTGAATATTCGTAGTGCTCCCTTTAAAACCACATAAAAGGTACAGTCTGTAATGAGCAGAAGAATCTTGCCGCCTTCTGTTCAAAAAACACAATTTTTGTGTAAAAAAAAGTGTAAAAAAAACACTTTTAATAGTGGAATTGATCGAGATATGATAAATTAGATGCAAACTTTGACGCAAAACTCTACAACCAACGTAAGAAGACTAGACTGTTGCGCTTAACTTTTGTGTCCAACTTCTGTCAACCAGTGAAATTCATATAAAAAAGTTTGACAACAATGTTAATATTCATTTTTTTGAATATGCTTTTAAACGATTAGGTTTATATCGATTTGCTCCAATGTAGATTATAGCGCCAAAAGCATGTCGAACATGTATTCTTTTACTATTCGTGGAGCTGGCCAAGGTAATCACTAAATGTTATTAAAATTTCTTTCATCAAGCGCCAGTATCAATGTGATTTACGTTAGGGCTGGCGCTTAATCAAAGTAATGATCTTGATCTTGGTAACGCAGAACTTGTCATGACTACTCTCAATTACTTCCAATAGCCAATCACAAGTTGAACTAGGTCAGTACTAGCATTTTATGCTTTATTATATTAGATTAAATTTTTTCTGTGGTTACCCCTTTGTTCAACCTGAATTTTAGAGTCATGTGGAAAGTTTCATTTCAAGCAAAATCTCATTGAAATTGCTACGTAGATTTCTTCAGGGATATTTTAGTCTTCTACCTGTTCTTACATCTGTGTATGTGTGCTCTGCGTTTTTTCTAGCCACAGTATTGCATGTTTTGATGATTGATAATTTCTTTCACTGGCAGTCAGGGCCGCAAATAATGAGAGGGTATGAAGGGTGCGCATCCCTCGAATAACTGAAAAAGCTGTTGTTATTTTATCCATTATATCTCGCACAAAGTTTTACATCCCCCTAATGTTCTGGGGCCTGTTCAAAGGATTTTGTTCAAAAAATTTCATCAAAATAATCTAAATTTGTTAAAGTATTAGTGGTTTTTACTGCATGACCTCTGTTTAACTCAAGTTTTTTTCAAAAACGCACCTAAGTGAAAACTTAAGTTTCACTTAAGTACCACTTAATTTTTCCCTTAAAAATCCACTTAAGTGAATACTTAAGTTTTTTTGAGAAACAGGCCGCTGCTCCTGTTTGCGGTCCTGTTGCGAGTTCACCAACTCTGAAAACTTAAAGGGAAATGCAACATTTTGTGTTGCAGCCTCTTCGCTCTAGAGTAAGAAAAAGAAGTCATTGAATCCCTACAGATAGATGCAAATAGTCTGTGTGTAGATTGTCCCTTAACAATCATTGTTTTAATAACAAAAAATATCGGCGACCTCTTTTCGATTGTTTCTAAATGGGTACGATTGTAGAGTTTGCTGATGGTTTCTTCAGAAGGAATTGTTCGTACGAAGATCAATAAATTATGCGAAGCTAAACTTTGTTTAATGCTTTTTTATTCTAGATGTAGCTTTAAAGTAATATGACTAAACCCTCTCGCTGTAATCTCAGCATTGATGACGAGGACGATTGCTGTGTAATTGACGATGACGCCAGTTATCCTAAATTTTGTAAGAGAAAACGTAAACTCGAAAGATCTGTCGTACGAGTAAATCCATTCATCTTTAACTGGTCGAAAAACCGACATTGTGAGAAAGAACATTCAAAACCGTTAACACAACCGCTTGTATCAGATACTGTCAATAAAGTGATACTAGATCCAAATCAATACATTATTGAACCAGAAACAACCACAGTACCGACACTAAACAATTATGAAGCGTTTGATTGGACTAAACAACTTGGCAGCGATAATGATCAATTAAAAATAAGAAAACGAAATCAAACACAACTACCATCAAGAAATTATTCATTGTCACCAAGAAAAATCAGTAATAAAACATCGCATGAAATAACCCGTCCATCAATACATCTAACATCCACCAATGTCTCTCTAACTGATAATGGCAATGGAGCAAATACAGTACAACTACTTGCGCAACGTTCGGAAAATAATATCGACCATCAGTCTAGTATGAAACGAAATCATGATCAACTTTCGTCAGATACACCGTTGCAAACAAAAAAAGTGGACAAACCATCGACAGGTTCAAAATTCTGTGATCGTCATCAATCACAAGAACACAATGAATTGAAAATAAACCTTAAAAATGTACGTCCGAAGTTATGTATAATATTCACTAAAAATAAACATTTTCACTCCATTTCGAATGAAAAATTTTGGCCTTTCCTGTGTCTATAAACAGTAATGATCACACTATTTTTCATTTTAGAAAATAGCAGCGCGAAAAACACTACAACAACCAGTTTCATCCAAAACTATAAAAAATCATAGTCAAATTACTAAAATTCAAAAAAATGTGTTGCATGGTCAAGGAATATTTAGTGCATTTCACGACAAACATTATTATCGATGCAATATTTGTACATATAAAACAATCAACAGGTGATCAACAACATTTCTTTCTCATTCAAAGCTTTGAATGGCGTTCTTTAATTTTTTTTTAGTTCATCGTTACTGCATCATTTATTTACACACATGTTTTTTTGTACTCGATGTTGTTATTACACGTATTCTCGGTTACAGTATTATCAACATTGTTATACTGAACATGCTCAAACAACACTGTCATTAGACAATACAGAAAAGAATACATCGACCACATATGATTTTGATTTGATAAATCCAATAAAGTTCGGTCATTTATATGTAAGCAATCTTCTTTTTCATACTCGTTTTTTGATGATATAAGGAAATGAACTAATTCTTTTAGGTAACACGTTGTGACGATGGAACGTTTGCTCTATGTGTGGATTCATCGGTTACAATTAACGAAAATGAATGTCAAGTTATATCATCAGCAAAGTGAGTTATCTTACAAGAAAAGCTGTTAATCTAGTATTCTGTGCCCTATACCTTCATAGAATCGATTCATTATTCACCAAATGTAGGTCTGACTACAAAGAATAGAATATGTTCTGTTTTTTTATGTTTAAAAAACTCGACTAAACTTCAGCGCTTTTCTTTTAGTCAACCAACAGACTATGGGAGAAAATTACAAACTAATTCAACTTCTGTTGAATCACAACACAAATTGTTAACTACTGTACCAATTGAAACATATGACGATAATGATGACAACGTACGTTTATTTAACGTATCTTGTGATACAACACCGAAAGATATCAATATACCTTCATCATTTCAAGAACAATCACAAACAAATCATTGTCAATTAAAACAACAGCCATCGCAAACTGACGATGATGATATAGTTGTGTTAGATAACGTCGCTTCATTACCTTCTTCTGCTATAGAAAAGCTATCGCGTGCCTACGTTTCAATGAAACATCGACGATCATTTTGTAATGAACAAGTAACAAGTTTAGAATCTCTCACATTAGAATATGATATCTGTAAAGAACAAAAAATAAGACAAATGTGTCGAACAAATAAACAGAAAAGACGAAGGAAAGGACCAGTATTGGCCATAAACACGAAACCATTGCTAACTAACGAGAATAATGAAATTATCTCATGTATTAATGATATTATTGATTCAGTTGTGAATAATGAAGAAAATAAAGGAACAGAAATAAATATCAGGTTAGAGAAGCATGACTACATCCACCCATCAGTTAGAGAAAAAGCTGTTTACTTCGTGTTAGAGAAGAGACGTTTATTTACTTTTGATAATCTAGAACTGTTTAAAAACATCTTAAAAGACACACACACACATTTCTTTGTATGACCTATATATGTGTTCTATTGGCGTCACTATAACATTTGTTCAAAATCATCGACATAATTTTGAGATTTGTTCAAATTGTTCTTTTATTTTTATTTTAGGTATCCACCATTAGTTTCTTACTTACCAAAGAAGGTTTTAGCTTCTATTTTCTCATCAGATGACAGGCAGATATTAGATTCGTTAAACTTAATAAACAAATATGATTTACAAATTAATGAAGAAAAACAAATTACATCTGAACAAGCATTACGTGCAAGCAAACGACATGTCTTTCTTTTATCGTCGCCTAATTCAACCGAAAGTGTTGCATCATTATTGTCATCAGGCTCATCAATGGCTACGGCATCCTTATATACAAAAATAGCAAAATTACCCAACAATAAAGATAATACTGACAAATTTTTACGCAAAACGATTAGTAAGCTCAATATCGAACGACTAAATAGGAGTCTAACTTTATTTCACGTCAACTGGTCGTATTCTTTTTTGATCAAATGAAACATGTCTGAACTTCATTCAGATTGCAGCTTCTTCACTTTTGAAAACTGTTTATTGAAGAATGTTCAAGTTTTTATACCGTATTGTCAATAACAAATGACTATTTCACGGCTGTACTATTTAATAACACATTTTCATTCTCATATTTATTTTAATTTTATTTACTTTTTTTAAGGAAATTCCAATCATCAGCATCATGTTCAATCTCAATTACGTTCAAAACAAAAATTATTATCGACAGGAGCCAGCTTGTATGCTGCGTATAAAAGAAAACAAAAGAAAAAATTAGAAACATCGTTTTATTCCTCTGTGAAACAGACAAATTTATCATCATGTTAGATCATTTCAACGTTTTTGTTCAAGTTTGAATAATAATCGTTGTTATTTTCTTTTTAGCTACGTCTATGAATTATTCAAATCCTATGCAACAAAATCCTCAATTATTACCGACAACGACCCATTTAAAATTACCGACAATGGCTCATATGGATAATAATAATCAAGTTAAATCAAATCGTCAACGCCTCAACGAATTGGATGAACAAGTGATTATTCTTGATTAATTTGTAAAGTTTTTAGTTTTTTCCATTTTTGAAATCGTTTTTTTTTACGTTATGTTCAAACATTGAGTGAAAAATTTTTGACTTGCTTAACATTCCTATATCGATGATAGTTCTCTATTAAGCTGTGATATATATTTTTTTTGTGAATGTTATTTTTCAAACTTAAATTAAATGAAAAAATATATATTCGTCTTAAAAGTTATTCTATTTCTCCTTAATGTATAGCTTCAATTAATTTTCATTGGCACGTAACCATTACGTCTCTTCTTATGAAGAAAACGGTTTAGCTTCGAGTGAGAACTCGATTTAGCGAATTTAATTTGTCAATTAATCAATGGCTATAACATGGCTTAACAATCGGAAATTTATACAGACGATATTGAATTAATGAACATCTGATATTTGAAACTCTAACAATATTTAAACAAACACTACAATCATCAAAAAATGTTGATTTTACTGTTAAATATCAATTTAATTAAAAGCATTACGAATCTTGTTAATTGATCTTAATCTACGTTTTTCAAGTTAAATCGAAAACGACCAAAATTCTTGTATTGATTATAACGATTATTTTACTCAATAGTCAACAACATTTTAAAAAATGGCATACCTGCTGTGAGAATACACTGGAAAGAATTGAAGAATATATATATTATTATTACCAAATAATAGACATTTATATAGTATGGATGAAGTTAATGAATTATCTTCACTAGAATTCAAGTAAAGTCTGTTTTATTTTAAAATTTTTTTATCAGCATGAAGAGAAATGCGGACTCTATTACGATGATGCAAAAATTCTTCCGTGTTTGATAAAAATCATGTTATATTATAAAGAGAAAAGAGTAAAAATTTCAGATAACATTTTTTATTTTATTCGACTCTATGGCTTGATAACTTTTAAAATTTCTGATCTGGTTGTATTTTCTTGTTTTACTCTTTTAGAAATAAATTTCTATTTTAGAAAACTGAAATGAGACTTTCGTTGGTGTAAGAAAACGAAAAAGAGTCTATCTGTTTAAAACATATAACAATCATAAAACATAGGAATATTATTCGTGATAAAAAAAAAAATACGGTCAAAGGTTATTTTTTGTTTTTTAAAATATGAAGTGGTATTTTTAGTGCGTAGGATGAAATAAATTCAATATTTTTATTATTTCAGTTGACAGCAGTGATCTATATGAGCCAATTTTGTTTATTTTTTGTCAAATATTATATGACATGTATACGTTTAGTTGATGGGAAATGGTTAGTACTAGGAAAAAAAGAGGAACATACCCGTACTCAGGAGGAGACTATCAGAAATCCAACTAGACTCTGAAGAACAGTGTTCAATTCGGTGAATTTCTTGTTTTTTCGTGGTAGGATCTCGAAGGGACGGACCATCCATCAAGATATGATCTTCAGATTGTAGAACTTGATTTTGGTGGCATCCGTCATCATATCCCTTCATCTTGATTCTGCTATTTCGACTTGCTGTACTTCACTGTTGTTTCATCTGTTCGAGTTTACTGGCCCCGGATGATATATGCTTCTCACTATACTGTATTCTCTCTTGCTGACACCAGTCTTTTGCACACACCTTCACATGTCCAATGATTCTCTGTGGCTTAAATACTTTTCCACATTTTGCGACATTGTACTAGTATTAATCAACATAAACAGTGATCTATTCAGATATATACAATTAAATTACAGACATTTATTTGAATAGAAAGTCCTTTTATTATTCTGTATTTTAATTGTTTGAAACTTTGTTTAATATTTTCGAGTTTACGTACGATAGCAACTTGTTTAGTTTGAAACATTTGATTATGATGCACAAATCATTGAAAAGTATTGTTATTATTAAACACTAAACTATTCTCTTGGTCTGAAGAGATCTTGCCCATATTACATCGATCTGTTTATAGACATAATTATTGTATTTGAATTGGATACTGGTATAGTTCATACCATTATAATGTTAATTTTACCAATCTTTTTCACTCTTATACTCTTTCTCGCTCTGAGACAAATTACAATTGCACTAGAACTAAGAGCAGGATACACAAAGTTTAAAGCAAACATTCTATCGAAAAAAATAAAATCTTACTCTTAGTACTTGCTTTGCATTATTTTTTCTTATAGATGTTATACTGTGATAAATGCACAACATCTTCTTCGTCTATTTGAAGAAGAAAGCAATTCATGGCAAAAAATCAATTATTTTTCAAATGTTTAAATCATTTTATTACATTTTATGCTTATTTTGGATTATTATTTGCTCTCTTTTGGATCTATTGTATTGTTATACCAGAATATTTTGAAAAATATTCATTATCTCAAACATTCTATATTTTATTTAATATTTTCTTTTTGTATTTTTATATTCAAGGTTATACTAATCTAATTTTAACGACTATCTCACGTTATTTTTTACGTACAAATAAACACAGTTTAACAGCGAGTGATTTTTTTTGTCCAAAATGTAATTCTTATTCAAATAATCGTTCTCATCATTGTACACTATGTAATTATTGTGTACCATTACGTGATCATCATTGTTTTTTCGTTGGCGTTTGTGTTGGATCACATAATAAACGCTATTTTATGTTAATGCTTTTTCATTTATGGTGGGCACATATAATTGGTTATTCTTTTATTTGGTCTTATATGTGGAAGGAAATTGGCGGATTTTGTTTAGAAACAATACTTAAAATATTATTTTTTAATATTGCTTATTTAATTGGATATATTAATTCAATGTGGATAGTATTAATTTGTTTATTACATTATCTTGTCTTTATTGATCTTATCCTACTCTCAGGAATCCAGTATCAAATGGTCAAGAGACTAATTCGAGGTCAAACACAGTATGAAGAAAAAAAGAATATAATCGATCCAACGTATAAAAAGGGAGAAGAATTTTATCGCATTTTTGGTGGTAAAAGATTTTTTTGGATATTTTTAAATCCATTATATAGACAAAATCTTTCTCTAGGCAATTATATCTAGTGTAATGATATCAATCAAAAAAGAAAAATAATTTTATTTCTATGAACTTTTTTGTATGTTTCCATTTTCTGTGATTCTTTTAGTTTTTACAAGATTTTATTATTATGTTTAATTTTAAATGTGAATTTTTAATACCATATTTGGATGACAAATAATTGCCGTCCATATTTTTAAACAATAATACCATTCATTTTTAGTATTATTCCATTTATTTTTATTACCTTTTCCATATTTCGTTTGTGATTAAAATTTTTATTACAAATAACGGTATCATTTTTTTTCTCAAATGTTTTATTTCTCTTATTCATATGTAAAACAGTAGTGTATCTAACGATCATGGCTATCTGGCATACAACATGTTCTATCTGCATTTTTTAAACTAGCGTTTAAAGTTAAGTTTAACTATTATTTTAGATGACCACCTCATCCGCTGTTGTCGAAGTAAATACACTCCGTGTCGATGAACGTACGACAAATCCTGCAGATCATCAGGGTGTTACATCTGACTATACGATTGCTGTTGATAATCCAAATATTAAATATACAAATGATTATATTGAAACTAAATATATTTATGAAATGAATCATTGTGATGTTGATAATATACAAAAAAAAGTAAATATAATACCAAGAAAATATGAATATCTATTTCGTACAAAACGTACTGTTCAACGAACTGGTGTCATGTTGGTTGGATGGGGTGGTAAGTAGAAAAAAAAGCAACAACAACAACAAAATATGAACACATTTTATCTTACACTTATTATCATTTATTCTATAGGTAATAATGGGACAACATTTACCGGCGCACAAATAGCCAATCGGGAACAAATGACATGGATGAGAAAAGGTAATAAAAATAAAAATAATAATTAAAATTTAGTTTAAACAAATATTATATGGTATTTCAGAAGGTATTCAATATTCAAATTATTATGGTTCATTAACTCAATCGACAACAATTCGAATTGGAAGTAATGATACTGGTAAAGAAGTTCATATACCATTCAATACAATCTTACCAATGCTAACTCCCAACGAATTGGTTATTGGTGGTTGGGATATTAATTCATCAAATTTATATGAAGCAATGCAACGTGCATGTGTTTTTGATTATGAATTACAAGAAAAATTGAAATCGGCAATGATTAAAATGAAACCATTACCATCAATTTATTATCCCGATTTTATTGCTGCTAATCAAGAAGATCGTGCAAATAATTTAATACCAATGGGAACAAAACAACAAGATTTAGAACATTTGCGAAATGATATTAGAAAATTTAAACATGATAATAATTTACAACAGGTTATAGTATTATGGACCGCCAATACTGAACGTTTTACAGACGTTAAAGATGGTTTAAATATGACAGCTGATGATATATTAAAATCAATTGAGAATAATAATGAAGAAGTATCACCATCAAATTTATTTGCATGTGCTGCTATTTTAGAAGGTTGTTCTTATATTAATGGTAGTCCTCAAAATACGCTTGTGCCAGGAATTATCGATCTAGCACAAAAAAATCAGGTATTTATTGGTGGCGATGATTTTAAGAGTGGTCAAACAAAAATGAAATCAGTACTTGTGGATTTTTTGGTTAGTGCTGGTTTAAAAGTGCAATCAATTGTCAGTTATAATCATTTGGGTAAGAATATACGGAGTTATAGATGTTTTTATTACTGTCAACTATAACATTTTCCTTTTTGATTTTAACAGGAAATAATGATGGTAAAAATTTGAGTTCAGCTAAACAATTTCGTTCAAAAGAGATAAGTAAATCCAATGTTGTCGATGATATGGTTGGCGCTAATCATTTACTTTACGATAAGAAAACAAACGAACATCCTGATCATGTAGTTGTCATTAAATATGTCCCATTTGTTAAAGGTATTTGATTTCATTAAAAGTACCTCTTTCTCTAGTTTGAAAAACTTTTGGATTTTGAGTTGAACATATACTAATGTAGAGGAAAGTCTGTGACCACTCCTAGCATTCCACGATCCTTCTCGAAAATATTATGAATTTTTTAAGTTTTTCCTTCAAAGCCTGTAAAAACTCAATTTTGTAGTTTCATCAACTTTCTTCCCTTCTTCCTGTAAAATTTTTCGTGGAGATATAAGCATCGCCTCAAATGCCATGAAGAAAACGATCTATCGTTTAGAAAATACTATCTTGCAAAATGTGTTTTTTCGACATTCCACTCGATAACTTGATCCAATTGACTTCAAAATGTTATCATATATACTAGATAAGATTGCCCATGTGTAGATTTTTTTCGTTTTATCGTTTTTTCTTTTCAAGTTATAGGAATTTTAAGATTGAAAAACCTGGATTTTAAGATGTTTTCCGGTGTTTTTGCTACAACGGAGAAGAAAGGATGATAAAACAATAAACAAAGCTACACTTGGGGAATATTGTCCAGTATATATGATAATGTTTTCAAGTCGATCGGATCAAATGATTGAGGGGTCGTAATGGAACGATATCAACAACCGAGTTTCCTAGAGAAAACTTGAGAACTTTGATCGCTAGTGATTTGCAAGAAAAATGAAAAGATACTCAATTCAGTTTTCAATTGGTCCTGAAATGGAGACGGCTTTGTCATTTTTAGTTAATATTTCACAATATTTCTACGGAAAGTTCTAAAAAGGAAGACGGTACTCTTAATTAGTTGTTGCTGTTTTTTTGAAAGATGTTTTTATTTTTTATTCTTTTATTAGATTCAAAACGTGCTATGGACGAATATATCTCGACAATATTTATGAATGGTTTAAATACAATAGCAATTCATAACACATGTGAAGATTCACTGTTAGCTTCACCATTAATTGTTGATTTGGTTATATTAACTGAATTAATGACACGTATTACGTATAAAACATCGGATATGAATGATTATCAACCGTTTGAACCGGTATTATCTATTTTATCCTATCTATTGAAAGCTCCAATGGTCATGCCTGGTACACCTGTTATCAATGCTTTATTTAAACAACATCGTTGTATAACAAATATTCTCTCAGCTTGTGCTGGTATTTCAATGGATACAGATATGTTATTAGAACATAAAACAAAATTACCAAAACCAATGAATTCAAAATTATAAAAATCTTAAAATTAATGTTAGATAATATTTAACTATTAGATAATTATTTAGTCGTATTAATTAATCATTAGAATTATTATCTGTTGTGTTGTTTTTCTCATATTGTTATATAATATTGTTTATCTAGTCAAAATAAATAGATATTTATATTGTATTATAAATATCGATATCCTTTGTTTTTTTTAAAAGGCAAACGAAAATAGGCTCGATTTAATTGTTGGACAAATTAACATACAAGAGACAGCAAAAACAAAATAAAATAAGACAATTGGTGATAGTAGTAACTTGTGCATTGATGATTAAAACCACATATTTTATTTGACATAAGCGCACATAATGGAACAATCATAAATTTTCATTTATTTAAACGGTGATATTTATTCTTTTTACACATGTATCGATGCAGTCTACTTCTCGTATAAATTTATTATCATTTCCTTTGCAACCTAGAGTAATCAAAAGAGAGGAAAAATAATTATTCATTAATTTAAATTTTAAAAGAAAAACATACCACTATGTACAAATGGTAAACATGTTTGTTTATTATAATCATAATACCACATTTGAATGAAACCGTTACATATTCCACGATTAGGTGCTGGTGCACACGCTAAAGATAAATAAATCGAATTATTGAGACATTCCAATTTATTAGAAAAACTAAACTTACTTATACATTTTAGTCGACAATCGTTTAATGTACGAAAATTATTTTTATTTCCACCGCTTCCACGATAAATAAAATGATGACATGTCTCCTCAACTGGATGATAATACCATCGATCATGATATCGTGGCACAGATTCATGATAACCAACGTGCATCGGTTGATGACATTCAAGTGGACGATCTTGGATAAAAAGTTAGAAAATATATTGTATGAAGGCAACCGTTTTTTTATAAAGCAAAAGCAAAAGAAGCAGGTTTTAATGTTAAAGAAATGAATTCAACTAAAAGGTCAAGCATAAGATACATACGATAAAATGGTAGACCTTTCTCTGTTATATTTAGCTAAATATTAAACAAATTATTTTGATAAGAATTTAACTGCTATTTAGACTGCCGTTCATCTGAAACTCAAGTTACTTTTTTCTCATCCCTTCATTGTTTTCACTTACCTTGTTTATCTAATGGTAGACAAATTGGTTCTTCCTGACTGTCAACTTCGCACGTATGATTATCAAAACATTGATATTTCTAGAAATTAAAAGTAGAATAAAATGATTACAAAATTCTTTGAATCAAGTTTATAACAAGAAGTTTCCAAAGAATTAATTAACGTACTTCACATGGTGGACTACATTCACATGTGTCATTCATTAGATCGAAACCATACGGACATTTTTTCGTACATTGACATGTTAAATCACATTGAACAATTTCAGATACTTTGATCGAAAACTGTTTTTCTATTGCCACTATTTGATCTGTTTCGTTTTCTAAACGAACATTATCATTAGGATAGTGTGTTGATATAAAGTCGTTGTAGCTAGTATCATTTTCATTTTGTATTTCATTTATAAAAGTGGTGTTATCTGTACGAGATATATTATCATGAAAGTTGTCTGAAATTGTTGTCACCGTTGTTTCATTTTTATATGTCCAAATAGTTGTATTAATTAGTATTGTATTGCTTTCTTTTTTATTTTCATTATTGTCATCATCATTGTCCAACACAGTATCGGTAATAATGGTCACATTCCCATCTGTTTTTGAATATATCGTAGTGAAATCCAATGCAGCGTTGGAAAAAGAATCATTGTCTACAGTGCCATGTTTAATAGTGAGACATTTTCCATCTTCATCGCAAATAGTACTTGCGTCGTTGTTCAATGCATTGTTCGAATTATCTTCTATAACAATTGTTGTATTATCATTATGGTAAGAGGTGGTAACATTTTCATGCGACAAAGATGGCATTATTTCACTTGTTACATTTTCCCACTGGTTAATTCCAGTATTATCATCCGTTACAGAAAATATATCCTTGCCAGTTGTATCGGATGATTCAGTTGTAAAATTGTATATGGTTCCAGTCGTATTTTGTTCGGATTGAGAACTATCGATAATTACTAAAAATTAAACACTGCCTTTTTAGGAATAGTGTTCGATCGAAAAACAAATATCATTGAACATGAGATCACATGAGATGAGATTCTAATGACGTCAGTACAATGGGGAGAGATAAGAGTAGATTAAAAAAGTTTAAATGTAAAAATTGGACTACGTAGAATTATAGAAACGCTCGCATTAGATTCGTAAGTAGAAAAGAACAAGAATCATCCGGGAATATAAGAACCAATTTACTTACTTAATGTAGTCATTAAATTTTCTTCTGTCGAGGATGTAGCATAACTATTGTATGATTTTTTTGTTATGTGTTCTGCATGTGATGCTGAATTTGTTTCCTCACTGCTATACCCAGTACTCATTGTTGTAACATCGTCAAATAAAATTGTATAATTACCAAGCTCATTAGCATTTTTATCCGCTGTATTTTCATCATTTATCGGCGATAATATCTCATTGGTCAAAGTCTCGATGTTTGATGATACAGTACTAATCAGATCGTTGTCATCTGATTGAATAATATTAATTGTTGTTAAAGAATTATTTGTGACATCATTGGTTTGGTTAACATCAGCAATATGTTTTGGGTGTTCTTCATAAACAATTAGTTTTAAAAATGGGTCTATTGTAATATTGTCAACATTGTTGAATTCTACATTATTTAGTAATAACAGATTGTTGGTCGAAGACAACTGACTAGTCGAAGTAACCAAATCATTTGTATAATTCTCATTTGATGTATAGGTATCAGATATGGTAGAGTTGATATCGTATTTATTTAAAATATCAGGTAAGACACTGTTTGTATTATTTTCAGAAATATGAACCAGATTCACAGTACTAGTAGGAGAAGTATACGATCGTTGCGTAGTTAATATTTCAATATCTACTACATTCACTTTTGTTGCTATCAATTCGTCAGAACTATTATTTATTATCGTTTCTTTAAATACTAAAGTTGTAGGATAGATATCGGTTACATTATTGGACTCTATGTGCTGGTCTATTAAATCATTCGAATTATTATCGGTCGATGTAGACACTTTCATGTCATCAGACAGTATTTCAATTTCATCATCAAATTCGTCATGTTGATTATTTCTTTTCATTCTTTTGATACTTGTCCATAAATCCGGTCGTCGTCTTGATAAAACAGTTTCTTGTAAACTGTTGTCAGTAGTTCGTTTAAATAATAACATGGTTGACGGTAGTGATGGGGAATGTGAAAAATTTGCTGATATAGAAGCATTGTATACTATTGATTTTGACAACTAAAGAAAAAATATGTTAACTGGTACGTAATTTTCGTAGAATTATGACTATCTGTGGCTTTTTCGTTTGGCATAGATAACAAATTATTTTCTATCGAATTAAAAACAAAAAGTTTTAATTAAAAATAGAAGAGAAAACCGAAATATTTCAATGGATAGTGCCAATTGTTGTTATCTATAATGAATTCTTATTTTTACTGACTATAGTCAGTACTATAATATAGAAAAATTATAAATGTACATACATTTTTCATTGTCAAAGTCATGCAATATTACTATCGACCATGCTATAATCGAACAAATATTGTTCGTTAATTGAGCGGAAATATGACTTAGTTACATATTTCATAGTGTTATTACTATCTGATTCACAACACTGATATTTCTTTTTGATAGTAGAACGATAGAAACCTATACTTTTTTACCACTCGACAGTCATGACTTGACAAAATAAACTTTTTCAAAGTTCAAAATGCTACCTGTAGATGATGTATAGTGCGTGCCTTTTAAGGATGAGCATGTCATTCCATGAATACCTCATGGATTTTTCTCTCTATGAATGAGTGGAAACCAGCACATATTTACACATATCGAGTTCTTCAACTACCAGCGTTCAGGATTGGCATCCGTTTTCTTAGAAGACTGTGTGGATAAGTTAGCTTCAAATATAGATTTTCGTTGATACTGAAAATTTCAAAGTATATTTATTTTTTACCCATTCGATTCAGTTTCATCATCTGCATAGAATACTAATATCAGTCTTAAACGGTGGTAGCTAAAGAGCTCGACTTGTATGACTGTGTAGGTAAATTGAAAATTCCACTGGATTTATGTTTTTAAGTATGATGGTTTTCTAAAGACTAGATTTTAACTACAGCTGTATCACACATCAAAAGCCGATGGACTAAGACGATATCAAAGCAAACAGTTTTAATGATGATTTCTCGATAAACAAATTTAGAGATTTTTACTCAGGGTAGTAGAAATTCAATTCTGGTTTACAGAGATGAGTAGAGTATACCTATAAGAAACTTACAAACCAAATTAGCAATATAAATAATCACATTTAGTAGTTGAGTTGTTATTAGACAAAATTTTAAAGTGTTACTTACGTAAATCATCAGTATATAACATATAAACGCATAATTAATCGATCTCGTCATTATTCGCTTTATTCACCTATTTTTGGGTTGGAATGAATAGGTTTATTTATTATGATTCACCTGTTTAAACAATTAATAGCTTTGTTACCTTAGCACAACTAAACATTATAAAAAAAACAACGATATTTCATCCGCCAGTTTGGATTTACTGCTTATCAGAAAAAAGTTGCCTTTACTTCTCTTCTTTTTTTCGCGTTATTTTATCTTTTATGAGATAACGTAATGGTCATTATGAACAATCACAGTCATTTTTCTCACTACTGTTGTGTTATTTTGTTTTGTTTCTTTTTCTGTTATACTGGCTGAGATGTAATTTGTTGATAATATGTATGAGTTTTAGTTTATATTATCATTATTAGTATGTTTCTTCTCTATCCAGTTAACTAATGAGAACGACATTGCGTTATTTCATAATATATATATATATATACATACATATGAGAGAGAAAAATAATAACGTAATGAAATATGTGGTCAATCAATGCACAGTATCTTATTTTTCTTTTGTTTTTAGAATGTAATAAGAGACAGAATGTATTGATAGTCATATGAAGATTCAAAATTAAATAGTCATTAAAAGAACGGGTTCGTCTAAGTACGTATATTAGCCAATTTTATACTTTTCTCTCAAAGGACTTGATAAAGTCTCGTCCTACTACATTTGACAAACACTGAATACTTTGGGACGCTAGAATCGGACTAATCCGACATCATGATGTCGGATTAGTCCGATTCTAGCGTCCCAAAGTATTCAGTGTTTGTCAAATGTAGTAGGACGAGACTTTTTTCTATTTATCAAGTCCTTTGAGAGAAAAGTGTAAATGACATGTAAAAGTGTGTTGGCTAATATACGTACTTAGACGAACCCGTTCTTACTAATCAGTATACACATTACGAAATGTTAAGTTTTTAGTCTACTCTATTCAATACTGATTTTTTGCCATATTACCAAAATAGCAATCAATCAAGATATTATTTTCATTGATGATCTTTTCTGGAGTTCAGGGACGCAGTAAGACTACGTAAATACGCTCAAGAGACTACTGTCTGTGCTGATGGTGATGTCTGAATTGACTAGTGTGAGTGAGTATGTAATCGTTCTTACTGTGAAGATTTTAACGCAGAAGTGAAAAGTCACAACATATCATGACATGATTTATTTCTACTACATGTGGAGTCCAACATCACATACCAACAGTTTGAATTACTGAGAAAGCTTTTTTAAGAGAAATCTTTATTCTATCAAGCGTCGATAGCTAACAAAATATAGCTTAAGAACTGTTGTTTCTTGTTTAAGTCAAAATATTCATACGAGTATATCGAACGGGAGTGTCGAAATGAATGACCCTAATAATGTTGTTAAGTTTTCTTCTCTTTCTTAAATTCTCTGAAGTTCATTTTTTTTTATTAAAACTTTTTTTGTTAAATTTCTACAAAAATTTGTGCAAACAATGTTTTTGGAAATTATTTTAGATAAAATTTTTACAAGAGTCAAAGGATGGATTTTCAGAATGTTGTAGAACTTAAGTATGAACATGTTGACGGCCCATCCAAAATAATTTATTATTTGTACTTGTTAGAGTAGAGTAGTTGGGATAAATTTGTTTCGGCTATGAATTGGGAACATGTGACAACAGTAACGAAAACGTTAGCCATGGTGCTGCATTCTCAGATAGACGTACCACTTATCAAATTGAACTACGGCGATGCAGATATTTCGTTTGTAAAAAAGTTCACTTATCTCGGATACACCACCACATCAAAACTGGGAATGAGATTTTTTCTTAATGATCAGTTTTTGAAAATTTGTCATTCATGTTGGTGCTCTTTTGCTTCGTTTGGATCGATTATCGATTCGGCTACCTCGGCGAACGTTTTTTGGCTATCGCTTTTTTCTTTATTTCGCTTGGTTATTACCGTTTCTCTCCCATCTCAAAGATAGACAACAAGAACGTTTGTGTAATCCTTATGTACTTTATTTGCAAAAAATCAACGAGCTCTGTTATTTAGATTTAAATCTATTTTTTTCAAATCAACCCGATACAACTGCTTTATTAAGGTGAGCGAAATTATGAACAGAGGATGAACGATGGTCAACTGAAACTGTTTGTCAGTCGATATAATCACATTTTTTGACTTTCTTCAAACTATTTGGTAACATATCGAAATGATTTCAAATTTTTTCGCCGTCCCTTTTCACTGATACGACCGAATATTGATTTTTTATTTTCTTATCTAGAAGAGCATACATTTTCTAATTATGACGAAAATCGTCTTTACCGGAGTAAGGCTGCGTCTACTAGATCCGAAACGTTCATTATTTATTTTCCATTTAAAACCGAAATAAATCTTGATCAGAACTAACACAGAGTGTATATTTGTATATGTCTTTTGTTTGCTCATAAACAACAACAACACAAGCCACGTGAATTATTGATCAGTCCTGAAAAAATAATATTCAGAATTCTATCTTTATATTTTTATAAGACAATTATACTGTAGTAAAACTAATCAAGAAATTTTACATTCGTTGAACAAAATAAACTGTTTTGAAGAAAATTTTAACAAATACGTTTCGTTTGCAAAATATATGGAACAGATGAATGATATATTTAATCATAGTTGAATGCATAATATTTTTAATCAAGGTCTCTTTTCATCCGTGTCATAAACATCCAATAACCATTATTTTTTGAAGACTCATATTTTTCTGTTTTCTTGTTATCATGAACAGAAAATAAAGACTGTTGTATTATCTCATCTATTATTTCATTAAGATAAAATGTCGAAATAATATAATTCTACGATTTTGCTTACTGATGGAGTGATAAAAGAGAAAAAAATATATTTCTTCTAAATTGTGTAATAGGAATACTTTGTATTTGTGATATTCATAAATGACAAACCATGTTGTTGCTGTTGGTCACTACGATATATCTGTTATTCATCATGATTGTTAATCTCTCAAAAGAGTAACGTGTACATATTCCATTTAAAGAAAGAAAAATTTGGGAATATAGAGTTATGTATCTAAACATAGATAGTCCCTTGATCATCATTATACGAAGTGATTGATTAAAACAAAAAAAAACAATTACACAATAATCGTTAAAAGAAAACAACTACGTATACACACACATATACATAGATATTGAATGTCCGATGAAATCTGTATATAAAGCAAAAAATTTTTGGACAGAATTTGTCTAACTAATTGGTCAAGATTGATAAAAAGCATAAAGGCTGTTATCTGTAACAATATAGTTTTATCTAAAAATTTGGGTACAATTTGACTGTCATATTTACAAGTTGTCAAAAATGAAATGAAAATTTAGATTCGGATTTGTAACTGATTTCTGTTAATGATTAAGACTCATATCAGTTTCATTGACAGTTATTTAACTTTTATTTTTGCTGATTTGGTTACATAAACGTTTTTTATATTGAAATAAATATGTCTTTAACACATGTAATATCATATTTGTGTTGTACACCTCTAACGTATGTGTGTGTATGTGTTTGTGTCAACATTTCTGTAAAATGAAATTGATTCTAATTTTGTCTTGTTCTCATATAAACCAAAGAAATGGTGATATGTATATATATATATATGTATGGATTCTTCTCCTATATTAAATTATGTCCATTATCCATGTCTAGAACAGGAGCAGCAAGTTTCTTTTTCTTTTTTTATAAAAATAAAAATTGTCATCTTGTTCTCTTTGTTTTTTTCTCTCTTTCTCTCTCTGTTGAACGATACTATAAAATTAATTGCTGCTTTTCGTACGTACACAAGTACAACCTAATAAAATCTATAAAAGATGTCTTAGTTTGAAAAGAAGTCATATTTTTTAGGAAGAAATGAAAGAGACCGCTTGGACACACACAACAATGAGCACAGAGAATTATAAACTTATCGATTGTATTCTGATTAACAGGCAAAAATAATGAGTATGAATAAAAAAGAAAAAGAAAAAGTTCAACAACACACTGCGTACTGATTTTTAAACATGAAGGACACCAAAAGGTAAAACATACGTTACTCTTTTTTAATAAAAAAAAAATTTTTTTTATTATCTTCACTTCTTATAAAAAAAAATAACAAAAGAAGAAAATAGTTTCGTTTATAATTAGAAAACGATGTTTGTTTTGAAATAAGTAGAAAAATTATTAAAGTTTATATTCAGTGTATTAATACGAAATCGAAGGATTTTCACTACACCTGAAGAGAAACTCTGTTTTGAGAGTTTATTATTCTTGTTAAACGACAACGTCTATTAAGAGAAAAGAGAGAAGAACACGTTGAAAGTGCGGTTTTTCAAATAATTTGAAGTATGTTTCATTTTGAAAAACAAAATAAAAGAATGAAATATGTAAACTATTTCATTTACTATTACATTGTACTATGGATGCTTACAACGAGTACCATAACGAATAAATTTGAGTTAGTTAGCATAAACAGTACTGTTACAAACAATGATCATGTGTTAGAGGAGGCAAGAGGTTTTCATACGGTATGATATAATCCACTAAAAGCTTAGCTAATATTAATCGATTTTTATCTGAAATTTTATCAGAAGCTCGTAATTCTCTTTTAGAATAGTTGGTAAACAGATACTGGACTAATTTATAAACAAATCGTACAAATAGAGATAAAAAAAAAAAGAAGTGTTTCTCATGAATGAAGATCGTCCATTAATAAAACAATCCATGGTTCGAAAACTTCGTACAAACCATTCACAATCAACTGTTTTGACTAGCAGTTCTGCTGATTCATCACCAAACAATAGTAATAATAGGCGAAAATTATTTTATTGTACAGATGATTATCCTCAGCATTCACTCGAAGATGAAGGTTATGCCAGCATTACAACGACAACTACAACGTTGGGTAGTCAATCAGTGGAAACACCGTTTCTCCCTTCAAGAAGTTCATCGTTTACAAAACAATTTCAAAAAAATGATTCAGATACAGATGATTCTGATTCATTTGACGATATGATCGATTGGCCATCGTTAAATAATCATGTACAAAATCTTGTTGATCGTCTCGATAGTTGGTTAAATGAACCACTTCCAGAGCGTCACATACGAGTAGAACGGCCTCATGTACGAAACTCTTATCCAGTTTTACAGAGAACATCAACAATACCAACAATCGATTTATTATCAAGATCAACAACACCTAAAATACCAAATCAGAGCAATATCATTGTTAGTTTTGTACCTAGAGATAACCAAGTTAATAAAACTATCAACTTGACGCGATCAGATTCGCCATCTGATATGGCCAAATTAAAAAAGTATGTAATTATATTTTAGCTTAAAAGTGAATGTTCAAACATCATCTTTTTCTAGAATTAACACTACACCACTAACAGAAGCAAATAATCAACCAATCCAGGTAAATATAATTAATCAAAAGTATCATCATTATGATCTACATCACAATATGATGCAAAAAAACTCGTTTTTTTTAATAAAGTTTGAAAGAAAGTAGAGACATACGGTTTTCACTGTTTAGTAGCCAAGAACGGAACACGTGGTTCTATAGAAGAAGAAAGTATTCCACTTTTTGCGATTTTAATGAAAGATTAAAATATTCATAAACTACTCAAAATCGATTTCAAACATCTTCGAAATCTCAACATACAATCTATTTTACTTGTATTACACCATGGAATATAATAAACATTTAAAGAATAATAGAAATAATTTGACTCGTTACAAAGTTTTCTAGAAATCTTTCAAGGTATGGAACTAAATTCTAATGGTCTTAAGTACCGAAGAATGTTAAATAAATAAAACATTACATCCTGAGATCCAGTAGTTGTGTAGATCGATTTTGAGTGATTTATGAATATTTTAATCTTTGATAAGAATAGCTAAAAATTGGTTATTTCATTTAATATAGGTTTTTATCAGGCTGATGAACTTTTTCCTGAAAGAAACACTACTAGGAGAGTCAGCGTGATTGAGCACTGTTTCCATTCATTTTCGGGATTACTCTAGCTATAGAAATATAAATTCTGGGGCTCGCAGGAAATCTGATGCCATGCTTAAATCATGAAAAATTAAGAGGTTGGTTGCTTTCATGTTTGAAGAGGACACTTTGGACTATCAATTAGCGAAAGAAAACGAAAATTTTTGTATGACTTTTGGAATGGTACCTTGCTTTTCCAAAGATTCTTTCAAAATGAGTCGTCGTAAAGAAGTTTTTTTTCTCTATTTTTTTTCCCGTAGAGCCATGTGAAATGGTCATGGCTATTAAATAGTGAAAACCGTATGCCTCTATCACCTTTCTTTCAAGCGCTATTCAAAAAAGTTTCTGCACTATATTTTGAAATAGATAGTAGCACTAAAATATAATTATCTTCTCTTGCAGCAATCTCAACAGTGTACATATTGCGCAAAACTTATTCGAGTTTCTATTGAATCATCTGTTAACGACAACATAAAACGCTACACGATGTGTCCATACTGTGAAAACATTTACTGTAATAAATCGTGTCAGAAAAACGACTGGACACTACATAAACAAAATTGTCGCCTATCATATGCTTATAGCTGCTGTGGATATATTTTACGGCTAATGAAAAGCAATTCATATTTGTTTGTACGTTTAAATGCCTTAGCTCGAAGCGGTTATTTGACATTGGGTAGAGGAGCCATTACATTGTATTTTGATAATATGCAAGAAGCTGAATCGTATGTTAATTCTGATGTAGAATATAATCATTTAATGGCAGTTTACTGGCCATTAAATACATCTTCGAATAAATCGACACAAAATTTACGTTTGATTGAGTTAGAACGTTTGAAAGAATTATGTGCAATCTACGAACCAGAACAAGAATTCATTTGTCATGTAACAATAAAAGCAGGTAAAGATCATATTTTTTACTATTTAAAATAAAATTGTGAAAATTTATTTTTATTTTTTTATTAGAAAATGATTGTAACAATCGACATTATCGTTATACATGCGTTAGTCGAACAATAAATTATAAACTAATCGATACTAATTTATCACAATCTCAACAATCGAATAATAATACATTGTTCTTAACGTCTTTATATGAGAATCTAAATAGTATCGATATAACTACGACTCGACACGCTTATTTTGCTAATTTACAAGTAGAACTTCGAAAACGTGGAATTGAAATTGAAGAACATTATCCAGAATTATATGAAAAATTATGTGAATATATATCCTCAACCGAAACACTTCAATATTTTACGCCCATCTGCCTGTTCATGAGACATCGTTATTTAAATCAATTATTCATGTGTGTTATTATGCCTGATTCTGACGTGGATCGATCCTGGTTAATTGATCGATGTTTGCTAAATCAAACGAATATTTGTGATTCATAATGTGCATTTTTCCGGTATCTGTAGTCATTAAGTTTCATTGGATAACACAGATCTTTTCAAAGCAATGACTAGAAAACGGTTTGTCTATCTAGAATTTGTTCACGTTTGATGGATGCAATTAACTATAAAAGGATGTCATTTTTTGACATGTTATTTTACTAATTATCAAATGTTTATGTTACTAGAAAAATTTTGTTCATTTCCTCTTCACATCTTAAGTGAGGCAAATATAGACGTATCAGAAATAAAGTATTGCGTGTATAGACACATTTTTGTTTAATACTATTGCGGAAATATTTATTCATCAAACGTACTAAAAAGGAGGGAAGAAACAACACTTGAAAATCTACACTTGAGACTAAAATGCTACTTTAATATGACGAGTATGTATGCGATAACAAAAAAGAACACTCTGAAACTTGTTTTTTTTGTCATATCAATCAATTACTTATTTTTATCATGTATTCATAACACTTTTGTTCTCAAATTTTGTTTTATTTAAAATATGCGGTACAAATCAATTTCGTATTATAATATTCGATCATTTTTTTTAAAATCTCTTTTTATACACAATAGAAAGTTGGAGACGTATAGACAAAGCATTTTCAACACTTTCATAAAAGAACTACTCTAGTGGACATATTTGATCTAAATTTGCAACACGGTTTATTGCTATGGCGTACTTTGTGAAAGGACCAGGCCAGAAAGAGTTCTGGTAAAAGCAATTTGAAATTTCTAATAGAACACTTGAAACTCGTACATTTTCTTTATCCACATACATTCTCATATAGAAAACTTTCTCCTATTCTATACTGTATCTTACTCTTTTGTTTACAGTCTCTTTTTGTCTTACCACGTGATAAGTGTCCATGCCGCCATCCACTTGAGAAGTCATCGGACAGCGCCATTTGTTTCCATACTCACAGTAGTGTGCTCTATTCTTCACGAATCCCGATGGTAAAGTTGGCGGATGATTTGGGCGACTAGTTCTTGCACGTAGTCAAGAATTGAAAATGTCTTTTACTCAGTTATTGTAAACAATCAAACATTAGTCGATAACAGGCAATACATGATAAATGTGTTTTAAGTAGAGGAGGATAGTGCTGAGAGTGCGACATATGCTCAACATCTACCTACATTTCTTAGCAACATGTTCAATGCGAAGTTTCCATGAGGGATTGTGCAACAGACATACACTGAAATGTTCAATTCCATAGGTTGTTTAAACTATAAGACAGTTGCCTATGATTGCGCGTGACAAATCTACGTTCGACATGAATATCTTGGTGATTTCGGAACACTTTTATTTACATGCATGTACTTCACGCTGCACTGTAAAAAATAAAGCATGCCCAAAACGGACACCGAACTTGCGCATCACTTTAATTCGCACTGAGAACTTTTACACATCTTCGGGCACACTTTTTTTCCACAATGTACTACGAATTTTTTTAATAATTCTTGCTTATTCAAAACCAACGTGTAAAAATCGACGCACGTCAGCAACGTGTTCATTCGAATTGTTAGCTCAGCTTCAATTAATCTTATGATCATGTTGTTTAGATTATCCGCACATAGGTTATTCATGTGAGAAAATTGTTTCAACAAATGAGTTCGATGCTAGAATAGAGAAAATAAATAAGATCAAATTTTTGAATTTCAATATGAGTGTTGTTGTTTAAGAAAGCAGGTACGCCCACAGTTACTGATCTGAATTTACTTTTTCTCTGTTGAATCTTTCATTGAAATCTTGGCAGTGGAACAGCTCGTTGTGACGGAAAAAGCTTCTTGGTTTTGATCTTCTGTCGCGTTGGCTTCATTCTTTTCCTCTTCGTCTCCGTCTTTCTGGACAATTGTCGCTGCCCTTTCGTGTGAGAATGAATATTTATCCATAAGATCGATCAGTGAGCAGTCTGAATTTACAATTATTTTGTACGTATTTAAACTTCATTAAAAAATCACCAAATAGTTTATTTGGATCAATGATGATTTTGTTGAGGAGAGTGATACAATCAATGATGCTATCAAATCGTATTTGATCGACTTCAGCTCGTCCGAAGAATGAAACGGCAATGAACAACCGCTCGTTTCGACAAACTAACTTTGAATATAGAAAATAATTTTCTCTATATATATTGTGAACGATTGGATAATTTCTGTTCGTGTCGTACCTGCTTGAAGAGTATCCAACACTGATGTTCTAATGTGATTTAAATCGACAATAGCGATATCCGATCGTTGCAATCGCAAATTACTCTTCTATATTTCGAATAATATATTTCAAGTAAATACAACGTAACGTGTCCACTATCTGAGGGAAAAAATGACGACAATATTTTTGGATATCGGTCTTCGAAGTCAAAAAAATATAACGATAATGGCCTGAAAACAAATAATACTCTCTTAATAGAAGAGAAAAGGGACAATCATAGAAATGTGTTTCAATAATACCTAAGAGAACATAAACAAGCACAAACATGGAAGAAAAATGCAGGTGACAAAAATTAGTCAAATTACTTTTCGTCATTGTTGAATGAAATTTAAATAGTTGTCGAGTCCTTTTGACAAAATCATTGCAATATCAATTGGTAAAGATATCATTGATATATTTTTGACAGTATTATGAGGATGTGAGCACAACCATTAGCTAAATACGAACTGAGAAGCAATTAGACATCATACCTAACAGCAAAAAACGCCTAATCATGCATCATTCAACGACAACGAAAATAAATCATAAGAGTGACAGTCGCTCTTAATAAAATTTCAAGTTTGTAAAATATTTTATACTTATCTATATCTTTTATTCCAAGTAAAACTAGAACAGAGAGCCTTAATCAGTTATCGACTGGATGATCAGTTAATTTCTGTTGTCATCAACATAGTGCAACACAGTCTTTGTCTCAAATGTCAAACAAGATTCCCACTAAAAAGGAAGAAAAGAAAGATAAAAAGGTAAAAGGATGAACCGTTTTTATATTACGTGCTAATGATTAGAACGAATTTAGCATCATTTGTGATCTTACACTCGCTTTTCGGAAAGAGATGCCTGATACAAAAAATGACGGATCGCCACGTAAGCGTTCTGTAACTGGCAAGGTTGTAAAAAAGAGAAACTAGTTTTAACAAATTTAGTTAAGTAATCTGTCGTATGAAGACTTTTTGAAAGAAGTAAAATCAAATCAGAAGAAATCGCCCTGCTACATCTGTAATTCGTCACGAGCTGGCTATCGACGAATTTTCGGCAGGGACAAATATCAAAAAGAAGGACCGTCACTCTTATGGAGGAACATTTAGCAGTCAGTCCTGGTGATAACATTCCATTCTTTTCAAAGACAACAGCTATATTATTTTCGCACATAGTTCAATATTTTCATATTCAAATTACTATTTTTTTATTGCTTGGTGATATGCCAAGCATACAGAGTTTGATAGAAGAACTGAAACAACATATAACACAAATGCACAAAAACAAACTGATAGTTTATTTCATAAGACCAGTCTTCTGAGTCAGGAGAGTAAGGCATCATAGTATTTTAAACTGATATTCTCATCGAGTTTATCAACAGCAATGAAACAAATATTTTAAATACACTGTTTTATAAGTTGTCATCTAAATAGTTCTAGAAGACACAGATCTTTATTCATTACTAGTTCACACAAATAAATAAGCATATTTTGTATTATAGAATGAAAAGTTATTTTAGTTTAATTAGTAAAAATATATAATATATCAAACGAGAAAAAATTTGTTTTATTAGTTATCGTGATATTGAATTATATGTGAAGCTCAGCAAAAACAGAATCTAGAATCGATATTTATTTCTACGATTTGTAGATTTATCGTTTTTAAAGCACTATGTATTATTGTTTGTAATAATCAAATTGGTAATAATGAAAGTTCTTTTATTATGGGCAAGGAGAGTGAAATCATTTTGTTGTTAAAACAAGTAGAAGGAAGACTATTAGGTGAGTGTAGAGAAGAGAAGATGTGAGTAAAAGGATGACGTTGTAAGTGAATTGGTCTTATTATGTTTTCATGGCCAGCAATAAGGATCAAAACCTAATGATACTTTTATTCATCTTCCGTTGTTTCCAGTTGTTCAAGTTGTTTTCCACCATATATCTCATATTTAAAAAGTGATTAACTTGATAAAATTAGAGTTTTATATCAAAACCAATCAGTTCGAAGGAAAACTATAGCACAATGTGTACTGATATTTGGTTAACACAATCAGATTTTTCGAAGTTCTCAAAGTTTCAAAGTTCATCTCTAGTACAAACTTTCTTAAATGATGATGTTGAATGCTTTTTTGAATACTGTGACAGCGGTCTAAAGTTACTACGATGGTATTTTTCGTTGAAGAAACGAGCTGTTTTAGAAAAAACTTTTTTGTCATTTTTTGGCTATGGTATGATCTCCGTGATTTCTAAACCTCACTCCAATTCTTTTTCGGAATAAGAAACATATATTGTATCATAAACTTGTAATAAATTAACGTTAAGTTAACAAGTATGCTTTGGTAAAATTTTTTATTTAAAAATAAAATTATAAACAGCAAACAATTAGATATCTAATCAGAAATTTATAACTTATTTAATATAAACTTGACTATTAACGGTTGATGATATATCTTAGCGTAACGATAGGGCATCAATTAGTCTAGTTTAACTCATCATAGTTAAAACTGTGTGTTGAAATGGTTTTAATTCTAACAGATTGGATACAAATCGGCGTATATAGAAAAATTTGTCTAATTTTTGATAAAGAATAGTTTTAATGACAGTTTCTCTTTCATATAGAACTAGCTGTTTTTCTGTCTTTTTTTCTATACAATGATGTTCATGAATTTTTTCCTCAACACTTGCATATCCATCATCAGATGGAGTCAAAGATGAATTAGACAAATCATAATCATCAGTATCAGACAAAAAATTCATTTCATATGGATATAATTTTTGTTGTTCTTGTTTTAAATCATCATCATAAACGAATAAAGAAGTCAATTGCATATACAGTATTTCACATTCTTGTTCTTGTTGTATATAGCTTAAATTTTTTTGTTGATGAATATAGTTATCTGATTGTTGTATTACATCGTCATCACACTGTTTAATGGAACTAATTTTTGTTATTAGTTGTGAATCTGGAATAGATGATTTGTTAACATGCTGTTCGATGACACAATCATCGATATTATCTAAAATAATAAATAAACGAAAAAATGTTGTGTTATAAGTGATTAACATATACAATAATTTTGCCATTATACGAACCTGTCAGAATATTATCTAATATGATAGTATCATTTCTATCATGATGTTTACATTTTAAATTTGATTGTAATTCCCAATTATAAATATTGTTCGAGATTAAATTGATAGATTTACTTGATGATTGTTGTTCATCATCAATTTGATCATTTTTCAAAAATATATTTAAACTACCATTTTGTTCATTATATTCAAAAGCAATTTTCAAATATTGAGTTAATTCAAAACTTTTCCAAAAAGTTTTCATTGTTTTTTTTATCTCACAGCTAGATTAAATAATGATAGACTTAACATGTATCATTTATGGATGAAAAAAGTTTTTCTAACTGAAGTATCGTCTATTCTATTATATCTCAAGTATTATAACACACATCTTTAAGCATCAATGAATCAGAATTTTATATTTCTTTTGCTATATGCTGTCTATAACAAATAAGTTATTGATAAGCTAAATATTTTTCAAAAAATCAACAGAATATTTATTCTTAAATATTGGTTCTAAAAACTTTGTTCAAAACTTACGTGTTGAATTAGAGAATATAAATAATATAGTTAAAACTTTACACTGACGATTAAATTGTTTCTTCTCTGCTGAACTAAAACTTCTGTATTTATATTATATGTGCTTTTATTTCCACTTTTTTTTCTGTACGTACCAGCTGCTAAAATGGATGTATGTACGCTTTCTTTCTTATATTTTAACTAATTTTTTTTTCCTAAGTGATGATGGAACGTGTCAAGTTTTTGCTTTCATATTGTTCTAAGAGGAGGAAGAGAGAGAGAGAGAGCGAGAGAGCGAATAGACATGCAGTAATTTCTCTATAAAAAAGATTTTATACGTCCGTTCTATAAAAAAAATCCCGGAAATATTTATCCTTGGTTCAATAAAAATCTCGAAATGAAGGATGAAAGAGAAAAGTGTGTTTCTAACTGTTCTAAGAAGTATCTTTTCTCCTTTAGATAATAATAGAGTTGGGGAATTTGTTTCTAGAGAAGGTCAAGTTAAATGAAAATTATACGAATTACAACATTGTCATCAACAAATTAAAGACAAAAGTAGAAAATAATACTTCCTTCCACTCCGGGATTTATTTAAAGACAACATTTACAACATTTTTAAGAGTATTCTGTTTTTTTTTTAATTGCATGCAAAATAATTTCAATATAGACTAGAAAGCAAGTGAAAATTGATTTTAGCCTTTAAAAAAATAATTTCTCTAACTATTTATCATATAACCAGATCAGATTTGTAGCAATTTTTCTCGATGTTGAGTTCTCTTCCGCTTTTTAGCTTTATTTCTTATGGATATTTGATTATCGTTGTTTCTATTCGTATATGGGAGACAGCATATTCAATAGTTATTATAAAATTGAAGAAAAAAATATGTTAGAAAAAAATAAAAAAAAATAGCACGCAAAAAAACACAAATAGTACAAAATCAGCTGAATAGATAAAAAAGTAATAAAAAAATCAATAGTAGCACCAAAGCCAAAAAGACTAAAAATAGAAACTACGAAAATAGTATAGCCTATACTGTGCATATATTGGATGAAATGAGTTCATTTGTTAATTCTTCATTCTTTTTTCAAGATAAGGTATGTATATGTGTAGGCGTTTCACCTCATCTTAGTCGATATATACATACCAGAGATGGGCGAGTCTAATCATTTCCAAGTTCTCTATTTTTTTTCTTAACTTTATTTACGGTTTTCAATACTGGAATCTTTGTTTTTTTCGATTTACCTACAAAACCCTATCATTGCTTGATTTTTCAACGTGTTCTGGTTTTTTAAGTGGTGGCTGGCACTTCATGGTACAGTGCTCTATTTTCTTCACTCAGTTAATAAAACGAAAACAATCTGAAGAGGGCATTAGACAAAATAAAAGGCTATCGAAAGTGACTTTTTAAATGTATGAGTTCGAGTCTAGTCAGAATTTTCTTGAGTTGAGACTCGAGTTGGAGTCCGAACTCATCCATCTCGGATATGTACAGTAAAATTTCGAACAACACAATCAATTAATTGTAATAAACGCTATTGTAATGTAATCTTGCGCATCCTTTGTTCGAATTTATTACACCTATTTCTCACTTTCCTGCGTGAAAGAATATTTTTTTGCGTTAAAACGTGTTCGTGTTGCGTACGATTAACTTATACAATTCTATTGGAAACGGGAAATGACTTGTTACATGGAATTATTTTTACAGATTTATGAGCGTTAATAACAGGATGACACGTAGAATGTAGAAGAAATTGTATTAATGTATTTTAAACCACTTAATGCAGCACTTATAAGTGTAATAAGTCATTCGTGATACGCACAGATCACGCAGTTTCATGCGGAAAGCATTAGCGACGCAAAATGTCCATCAGTACTCAACTTCTTACATGAGATTTCATATCCAAAGATGCCAAAAAATAGTTCGAGAATAGTAAATGCTAGACATTAACTTAAGTTAAAGATTTTATAGGAAAACAGTAAAAAAAATAACTACCTATTATTTGATATAATTATAGAAAAACTTTTTTAATATCATGTCATAAATTGTTAGTACAACGTTTGATAAATATAACATTAAATACAATAAACATTCAATATTCACTTAGAATTGGTGAATTTCTTTCATCATTCATATTTTTATTAAATTTGCACTATGGCGAGAAGAGCTGAAATAACATATTAAACAGCCAGAACGGTACAACTAACTGTCATTTCCACAAGAAGTTCAACATCATCTGAAATCAAATTGATAGGAAATGGTTGTAATAATGTTGAAAAAATAGCAATTGTCTTTCGATAACATCTTTTGTACGATTGCCTGTCACATAATTGTAACTTTTCTTATTAAAAGTCTCGAATCCAAAGTGATCGGTCTTGTTACAGTGAAAGAGAAGACAGTGTAAAAAAGAGAAGTTGTTTTTTTTGTAAAATTTTCTCGAACAGATATGCGATAAACGTTTATTTTTGATAGGACCCTGAAAACCATCTGATTGTATAATTAGCTGAAAAAATGTGCTAACATTAATACAACGAACGAAGGCTTTGATCACTGCAGAGTTCAGAATATCGTAATTTATATAAGTGAAAAATAGCTTATAAATGCATTTATAAATCAAATGTTTATAAATAGTTAGTTATAAACCGATTTATAGCTGTTTCAACTCCTAGAAAATACTTTTAAACCCTTCAGTGACTTTAATCATCTTGTTCTTTCTTTTTCAGGCATATCATACAACATTTCTCATAGTTTCCGGTACAGCAGATCTGCCAGCCAAATCTTCATAAAAAATATGGATAAATACAAATAGAACATGTTCCTACAACGAATTAAAAAAAAAGAAACAAGTTTACATTTGTTAAATGAATGCGTCTCGTTCAAATGTCATCATCACTTGATCCTCGTTACGATCTGTCCAAGCGCATCAGCTAAAAAACGTAAGTTCGTAACGTTTTGTGAAATTCATAGTTCTTCAGTCGAGCAACGTAAAGAGTTGGGGAATGTCTTATTTTGTGGCTTAAAGAGTTTTCTTTCAAATGGTAATTAAGCAAAGTCTAGCTCTAACGTAAACACCTGCATAAAAATTCAATAAGGCTCTTTTGCGCGAAAGTGGCGTATACAAAAACATTATGTCACTTAAACTGGTCAGCTGCTAGATTTTGCTTAGTTACTATTTGAAAGAAAAATCTTTAAGCTAGAAAATAAGACGTTCCCCAACTCTGTACGTTGCTCAACTGAAGAACTATGAATTTTACAAAACGTTACGGACTTACGTAAAAGATGACATTTACGTGGATAAGCCCTATAGTGTTCAACCTCTAACAATAACTAGACGTTTTAGATAAACGAATTGACGGTAACGATCAATTACCAAAACATATTGATGCTTTCCTCGCTCCATGAGGGCCGTTTGTTAGGATCATCGATTCGATCATAAATATGACTGAAATGTAACAGAAATCAAACAAACTAATTTAAAGAAATCATGCACCTTGGCAGGGTAGCATCTAAAGGTTCTAAAAGGTGGAACTCCCAATACTGAGACATCTAGTCACGTTAAGAGATTGTGACTACCACTCTAAGAGGTTGTGTGCGGTATTTCAACAGGTTGTATCCTCCAGGGAGAGGTGGGGGTCAAATTATCTTAAAAACAGCGATTTTGGGGTATAAAACTGTTATTCCTCTTCTTCGAAGATAGTGAGGGAGTTCCACAAAACTTAATGGTGTACCTGAAGAAATCCTAGCGTAAGAAAAAGTATTGTGCAATATACCGCATGCTTTTGGTAATACAAGTGCATCGTTTAACAACATAGTGATATTTTTTTCTTTGACACGTAATAACGGTTCCTATTTTTCCTCCTTCTGGTTTCTACACAATCGTCAGCAAGCTTTTTATTTTTCTGCCAATAAATGCGTTTTACCCAAACTCACCAGACTAACATGATAATACCGTAAATGTGTACAGCTGGAGATCTCCCATTTTCTTGATTTTGATATCATTTTCTAATCTTTTATGACGAAAATAGAATAATTTACAAAAATGTAAAAGCTTAGCTTATCGTAGTTAATGCACACTATTCTTGATGCTATCATAGTGATCCACGTTCTTCGTGAAGTGGGGCTAAATAGATAACTGTGTTCACGTAAAGCTCAGCTTTTTACTAAACTATGTTTCTGCGAGTGCGATTGAGTGTAATTGTATTGTGACAAAAGGATATAGCTATCCTTCTGTCTGATATAGTAATACAGTTAGAGTCGTCTTTATGATTGTCAGCCACATTAAAGATTTTCGCTTTTGTATTTCCATTTTTTTGCAGAAGTTTTATGGAAAACTTCAACGCTAGACGTCAGATAAAAACATTTATTTTGACAGGTTTGGGGTTGCTTATCTCCTCTTAAGCAATAGCTTTGAAATACTTCAACCACTTATTTTTAAGAATAATGAAGTTGTATAATACCTGACGATATCTACAAGCCGTTTCTCTAGAAACAATTATAAAAAAATTAGAATAGATCTATTTTTTCTATTGTAAATGCTTGATAACAAACTGGAACACTATGTTTGAGAAAAAGAAAAACACAGCACACACACGAAAAAAAATAGATTATGCCACAGAGATAACGTTGAATGGACATGTTACAATAAAGAAAAATATTGTTTTTGTTCAAGTGTGTAAAAAATCTTTCCTGTCGAAAAAGTACAGACATTGATAAAGAAAGACAACATACATATGTGTATGCATATTTAAAGAAATACTTTCTATTGTCGAATGAGAAAAGTTTGAATATGAAAAGCACCAAAATATAATACAACATGCAAATATCTGTTCATTTGTAGAAAACATGAATCACGAAAGACATAAAAATACACACATAAATAAATAGAAAATGAAAAATGGCAGATAGTAATCATCGGCGTACAAACACAACTGTCAATAGCCCTAAAACGATATGGAAAAAATTTGAAAAACAGAGTTACTAACAGCGAAAGAATACGAGTTAAAGTGTACAAGGATTTAAAAATAAATATGGATCTTATCTTCAAAGAGAACTGGAAATTATCTTTAGTTTACCTAGAACATATGATGCAATCACTTTGGAATTAACACTCATGTGAAGATAATGTGGTATTCTTGTATTTGTGTTTTCCTCTGGTAAACTAGGTAAAATTAACACAAAAGCCGATAATAATCCGGCTATGGTCATCAAAAATACAACAACCGGATCTCCTACAAAGATTAAGAAGAGCGTATTATTTTTTTTAGATTATTTTTTGCCATTCACAACTTACGAATGTCTTGCGTTAAAACATTGGCAGGATTTGCGGGTGCTAATGACTGAGAAGAAGAAGACGAAGAAGACGGGGGTCGAAGGCGTCCCGAAGAACTGGCAGCATTATCATCATCAAAATTCTCTTCTAAAGGTTTATAGGACAAAATTGTACATGTTACATCTCTTTTACCTAGATACAAAAACTAAAGACAATGTAAGGACATGTAGTGAGTAAAAAGAAATAAATTACCAATGAGATCTTGAGGTTTTCTTCTATCATAAAATTGTATTCGGATTTTATGTACAATGTTTTGATTTGATGACGAAGACGATATGTCCAGCAGTCTCACGACGCTGTCGACTGAATGTTGTCCACGAATTTCTCCTTGCGGTTCGGCTATAAGATATTTTCTTGGCGCTGTACATAACACTAAAAGAACATGTAAACTCTACTTCATAAAATAATAGAAGAAACAATAAAACAGGCAACAAACCTTTATATTTGACAGGAAACTCGTATGGATTATAGATTGTCAAGATCTGAGAGAAGGATGTTGAATCGTCCAAATAGAACAATAATGAATTTGATGAACAAAAAAACGGAAGTTGTAAAGCATTAATCGAATGGGATTGCAATGACATCAATTAAGACATCTAGGAAAACAAAGGAATAAACTAAGAGAATCGATCGTCGATAGCACATGCGTTGATATTATTTCATCTGTCTTAAAGCAAATATTCAAGCTAGATCAACGACAATGAATAATATAGATTGCAAACAAAATAAATAGATAGCGATAAAACATTACATAAAATCATACGCTCGAAGCTCAGCTGATTTATCAGCAAAAATAGACAAGCCAATCATAAAAGAGCTATTAGAAACGTATCCTAAAATCAATTTAAATCATTGTTCAATTTGATATTTGTTACATTTTTTCTTAGTTTCAATTAAGTATTAAACTCTTTAAAAGAATTTTTGAATGATACAGAAACATGCGACCTCTCTCGAAAGCTGAATATCCCCTATTCTTTTATATTTAATATATTATGTCAGTTAAACTGATACAAAAACAGATAGACATTATGCAAAATTTCGTTGATAGGTCGCTGCTGTCTGTGTTTATTTTAGTCGGATTCTCTGTAAACTTGCTGCACAGCATGACTGATGAGGGAACATATTTAGGTGTTTAAGCCCTTTAGGTCCCATCTGTTGGCGATAGGTAGACCTCAATGAGGTATGAAAAACCTCAAGAGGATTTATCCCCTCGCACCTTTGTTTTCGAGATATCGAATT